AAAAGTCACTTCTCAAAAGATGACATTTAAGCAGCTAACATACCCATGAAAAAAATGCTCAGCCCCACTAGTCATCAGGGAAATGCAAATCAAAACTACAACGAGATACCACCTAACTCCAGCAAGGATGGTTATCATTAATAAGTCAGAAAACAATAGGTGCTGGGGCAGCTGTGGAGAAAAGGGAATGCTTCTACACTGTTGGTGGGAATGTAAGCTAGTTCAACCTCTATGGAAAGCAGTGTGGCAATTCCTAAAAGAACTAAAACTTGACCTTCCATATAATCCAACAAACCCTCTCTTGGGAATATCCCCAGAAGAACATACATTGCTCTACCAAAAAGACACCTGCACACTCATATCTATTGCCACACCATTCATAATAATAAAAACATGGAACCAGCCCTGTTGTCCATCAAAAGTGAACTGGATAAAGAAAATGTGGTACATACACATGATGTAATACTACGCAGTCATAAAGAAGGACAACGTGGGTGCAACTGGAGACTATCACACTAAGTAAACAACCACAGAAACTAAGAACTGAATCCACTCACCTCAGCCTCCCAAAGGCGCGGGATTACAGGCTGAGCCACCGAGCCCGGCCATTATTGCATTTAACACTAAACCAGTCCCACGAAGTGGCTACTTATGTTTCCATGTGCCAACGCAGAACTTGAGGCTCAGAGAGATTATATAGATTCTCCAAAGTCACACAGTATTAACTAGCAGAATTTGAGTGCAAATTCAAGGTCATGGCATACCCACTGTACTCCTCTGCCTCTCAGGGTAGGATGTGAGCATTTCTAGAATCTGGCTGGGCTTCCAAAAAACTATTAAATCGTCATGTCCAACCTGTGGCCCACAGGCCACATGCAGACCAGGACAGCTAGTAACGCAGCCCCACAAAATCTTTTAACATCATGTGTTTTTTAGCATTTATTTTCTTCGTGACCCAACTTTTAAAGTTCACAATCCCACCTTATTCATGACATCACTTTTGCAGCACATACATTGTGAGCAGCTGTTTTAAATTATGAAGCACACAAAGAGCAAAATTCAAAAAAAATTTCCAACAAGCACCTTGAGAACTCACTAAGCATTGCCACCATGTCCATCGAACCAGACACTGATAGATTAGTTTTACAAAAACAAGGTCAAATTTCCCAGTAGTGTTATATTGTTCTCATTTTTGAAACTTTATAATAAAAAATATTTAAAAGTAGGTCTTATTATGTATACACCCTAACTATATTATATAATTTATGTGTGTCCGAAGACAATTTCTCTTTACTCGAAGCAGTCCAGGGAAGCCAAAAGATTGAATACCTCTGCTGTAGAACCTGATGTCTGATGCCTGTCTCCAGCCTAACAAGTTTTCACCATGAAAAAGCTTTTGGTACGTAGAAGTAAAATGATGCATTTATAAGACAAAACTCTCGGGCAACCCACTTGGATCCCCTCCCACTCTGGGAGCTTTTCTGTCCTCTCAATAAATCCTGCTTTTTCAACATAAAAAAAAAACAAAACAAAAAACTCTCCCAAGCAGAAAGATGGGCATTTTATATGCTTAGAAATTCTTATCTTCAAAGCTTAATTCTTGTTTATCTTCTGAGAAATTAAACAAAGTAAGGATAAGGGAAAGCTTGAGATGCAAGAAATAACCATTCTGTGCACATGCAAGTTAATATTCCCTGTGCTTAATCTGGATACTCATATATAAAATATCATGATTAGGCCAAGCATGGTGGCTCATGCCTAAAGTCCCAGCATTTCGGAAGGCTGAGGTGGAAGGATAGCTTGACCTCAGGAATTCAAGACCAAGCTGGACAACATAGTGAGACTTCGCCTCTACAAAAAAAAAAAAAAAAAAAAACCACTCAGGCATGGTGGTGTGCACCTATAGTCCCAGCTCCTTGGGAGGCTAAGACGGGATCGCCTGAGTCCAGGACGTCAAAATTGCAGTGAACTGTGATCACGCCACTACACCTCAGCCTGGGTGCCAGAGTGAAACTCAGATTCAAAAAAAAAAGTCTTGGTTTGAGTTAAAATTTTATAAATAAAGGAAAATGGGAATTCTTACATTACAGTTAATGTAACCATGTCAAATATGTGATTTTGTTTTTTAGAAACAGGGTCTCACTCTTTCACCCAAGCTGCTGGAGTGCAGTGGCATGATCATAGCTCACTGCAGCCTCAAACTCCTGGGCTCAAGCAATCCTCCTGCCTCAGACTCCTGAGTAGCTGGGACTACAGGCATGTACCACCACTCCTGGCTAAAAATGTTAATTCGTGTATGTACTAAGCATTGTATACACTACTGAGGAATGAGACCTGCTAAAGGAATCGACTTCTGAAAAGCATCCTGGAACCCTCTAGGCTCCAAGGAGTCCTGAGGTCAAGGAGGTCACGAGAGCAGCTACTCTTGGGCTCAGTTCCACCAAATGTCCCAGGAAATAAATGCTGTTTTTCCATACTACTTCTTTGGGAAAACTTAAGAATCATCCTGTTTTTCACCACCCAATGTTATTCCGGAAGCATCTTTTTCAGGAAGCAAGTGGCTATCTTTTCTTCTTTAATAAAAGCCAAGGCTTCAAAGAGATAACGGAGCTGAACCGAAATAGCTAAGCCATTCTCCCCACTTATAAATATTACATAAAGTCTCCTTTTTAAAAGCGGAAGGGTTTAAAGCAACTCTGCTAAAAGTAACCTCTCCCTTCATCCTCATGAGAAAGAGTCCTGAGGCAGAAAGCCAGGGGGCCGAGAGAAGTGCTGTGCATCTCTGTGTGCCAGGCATCCTGTTTGCCCCTCCACTTCTTCCTCTGCACCACAGTGCCCCCACAAATGATCGTGACAGAGTTGGGCAGGGGCAGTGCTGGGCATATCCAGACCCTCTGTGCCAATTCAGTACCTGAGATAACTGCTCCTTGCCGACACCAAGAATCCATCCCTACTCCAAGAGACCAATATACACCCAAGGGCTGAGGTGCTGACTAGTATAAAACCTAAGTTTAATTGCAGGTAGCTTCACAATGGTTCTCAAGTGCATATCTTCTACTCTGTTTCATCCCCTATTTTTTGCCAAGATGTATCCATAGCATCAACCCCAATCTCTGCCCCAGGTACAACCCATGGATTTACAGCAGGCTGGGCACAGTGGCCCACATCTGTAACCCCAGCACTTTAGGAGGCAAAGGCAGGAGGACTCCTTGAATCCAGGGGTTCGAGACCAGCCTAGGCAGCATAGAAAGACCATGTCTCTATAAAAGATTTTTAAAAATTAGCCAGGTGTGGTAGCCCATACCTGCAGTCCCAGCTACACTCAGGAGGCTGAGGCAGAAGGATCACCTGAGTCCAGAAGGTCGAGGCTGCAGTGAGCCATGATCGTGCCACTGCACTCCAGCCTGAGTCACAGAGACTCCAACAACAATGACAAAAACCTGACTCTGCCCTCTCCATACCTAACAAGCTGTCCGTCATCATCTTTTAGGGTCCCTGAACATCTCCCTTCTTCTCCATTGTCCCATCCTGGACTGGATCTCACAAACTTCTAGGCCTAACCCATCAATCTGTCACTTTCTTCATTCTTCATGCATTTCTGAGCACTTACTTTGCTCCAGGCACTGTTATAAAGAATGTGAACATGAACACTGCATAACTGTTGCCTTCCCAATCTTCCAGTGAGGAAGAGAGACTTCTAGATTTAAAAAAAATTACAATCTTATGTAATAGGAGTCATGAAGCCAGGCACACCCAACTTCACAGAGGAGGTAGTGACTATGTTAGCTTGGTGCAGATAGAGAAGGCTTCATAAAGGCTGTGATGTCACAGCTGAGTCTTGACAGAGAAGTAAAAGGATTTCGGGTGAAGCGGGGAGAGGGAAGGAAAATATTTGCAAAGGAACCAAGATCTGAATGAATGAGTGGCTCAGGAAGGGCCATAGGTTCAGAAAGGCTGGGATCCCATACGCATGGAAGGGATACAGTTGTGATCAGATTTAGAAAGGCTTTAAATGTCATACCAAGGAACCCAGAGACTGTCAGTAATGACAATCAAGAGAAATGTGGGAAGGGCCAAACAGAAGTCACATCAGCCTGAAGAAGTGCTTTATTTCACTTACAAGGTATCTTTCCCATGCTGCAATTAGTTGCCAACATCTAAAAATTAGAAAATTAATATAAAAATCTACGATCTTGGCTTCTAAAAATATATATATGTGTGTGTGTGTGTGTGTGTGTGTATATATCACAACAATGGGTCAAATGTCCCACATGGTGACATGTATTTGAGTAGCAGGTGCAGCAGCTGGCCCCTTCAGATGAGGTATGTATTATGGAGTTAACGACCCCCCTCATCTGCAGGCACTTGAACTTGCAATCTCTGGTTTTAAGGCAGAGGGTAACACCATAAGATGGAGGTTACAGGAAAATAAACCTGAAAGCAATTCAGTAATTAATCTGGGCAGTGAAACTGGAGACAAGATGTCAAATTAGGAGGCCATCCCCACAGCACAATGAGGTAACAAAAGTCTGAACTAAGTCAGGAGAACAAAGACCCAGAAAAAAAGTAGAGTCAAGAGATGTTTAAAATACACCAGGTACAAGAACGATGTAACTTTTGTGTGCCATTTGTTCATGGACAAAGCCTATATTAAGAGAAAGAATGATTCCAAAATGATTCCCAGCTAAAAAATAAAGTGGCTAATAAGCAAACTATGTGGAAAATTCACCTAAATGCCATAAACCAGCACAGTCAACTGATGCGACACAGAACAATTGTCTGTATGATTCTTATCCTGGGTTCTCGGGTTCGTTTTCCAGTTGAAAGAGAAAAATTCAGATCGCAAAACTGAGTGGAACTCCTGCCAGACAAGTGATGTTTACCGGCAGGGGGTGGGGTCTAAACCATTACAATCGCTCATTTCAGGACCAGCCGTTACTTGGCAAACTTCAGAAACCCTCCCAATACATCCAAGGGAAAAGACCTGCCCGAGAACTTACACAGGCCGTTGACATCCAGCATGTTGGAGATGCCCCGGTCACTCATGTCCACTTCCGGCTGGTTCTTCTCCCGGCTCTCCTCCACCAACTTTTTCAGAGACTTGGACATGGTCTGTATCAAACGACAACAAGAAAGCACGTGGGCGATGGCTGCAGGGACAGGAAAGAACTCTCCGCGGCCACTCTCCAGAGTCCCCTCGGCTGGAGAAGGTGGGCATCAGAGGACAGGGTCCTGGTACCGGGAGGGGGATGGGGCAGGGCGGGCCAGGGCTGTGGGAAGTGTCCGGCACCACTCTGGCCACGCGGACAGAAGCAGCCTCAAGTGCAACACCCCCCACACTCACCACGGAGGGCAACCCCTAACAGGATGGGCGTGGACCCACAGGCTTCGGCACGACGCACACACGAGTGGCGAGAGATGCACTCAGTGCAAAACGAACACCCGCACAGGGAACACGCCCTGTCCCGGCGCTCGGCGCAGGCGCACACAGTGCCACTCGCCGCTCCACGCCCCGCCCGGGCCGGACCCTTCCCAAATTAGGAGAACAGTAGACTAGACGTGGCTCCAGGGCGAGGCTCCGCCCATTAAAAAATGTGGACCCCGAGGCCGGCCAATCATGTTTGTCATTCCGTTTTGAGACTCCGCCCCATGCCAAAGTGAGTCCGGCCCCTTCACGGTTTGAAATTCTGATTGGACCGAGATTGGCGCGTGCGCCCTAGGACCGGCGCATGCCCACTTGGTGGGGGGAAGCTCCAAGGGCTATGGGCGGAAGCGGAGAAGTTGGGCCCGCGGAAAGGAGTGTGGCGGTGGAGAGCGGCTCTTGCGAAAGCTGCAACAAATTGCTCCTGTGGTTGCGCCTTCACTCGCCAGAAGTTGCTACCCTGAGTCCTGTCTCCACAACTGTGCCTCTGACGGATCTTGCCGGGACTTGCAGCCTCCCACTGTATTAGTAGCCCTCAAGGCAAGAATTCGGCCGCGGGCCGCGTATCCCCAGCGCCCAGGTGGAAATCATGTTTTCTGAAATCTCGTAGGTTTCTACTGCTGGCTTTGACACCTGACCCCTTTGCTCTTGAGCAACTGGAACCACCCTCAGGGTTAAAGGCTCCGTGAGTGTGCCACTGCACGCCAGCCTGGGCGACGGAGTGAGACTCCAAATCAAGAAAAAAAAAGGGGGGGGGGGGGGGAGCTTCAGGTAAAACCGAACCATTTTAAAGGTCTTAGTTGACTTTTACATCGGTGACACATGGAGCTATAGCTTCCAAGGATCTGACACTTACTCTTCCAGAGGCAACCAGATTTTGAACTCTGGCAAAATTGCTGGCCTATGGTTCTCGAATTCCCGATCTCGTCCCAGTCTCCCCAGAAATATCCTGTACTTCTCTCACCCCAAACCCTGTCCTTAGAGACAGTTTCATTCTGTGGGATAAAGATCGTCTACTAGGGTGCCCATAGGATTATTTCTTCTCATTCATTCATATTTGCCTCTCTTCTCTCTCTTTCTCTCTCGTTTCCACTCTGTCCTCCCCTTCCACTATATTTATTAAACTCAGAAAAGTGCGTATGACATAAACTCTCAAAAAATAGAATCCCAGATCTCAGACGTCCCCGCTGGCCTCTTTCCAGTGGTTAGACAGGCTTCCTTCTAGTTAAGGTGGACACTGGCTTAACTTCTAATACTATTTAGTTTTGTCGTGTTTGAATTTTACATAAATTGAACTATTCAGTGTGCATTCTGACTTCTTTCACTCGACATTATGTCTTGAGATTCATCCCCTTTGTTGCATATGGCTGTTTCATTCCTTTTCGTGTCACCCGTGATATGAATTATCTATGCATTATCCATTGTTCTCCTTTGAAGTACCTGGCTTAAGAAACAGCCCTCTCACTTTTCAGATGTTCCCTACTTCGGGACCAGCAGTGAAATTAGAGGCTCTCAGTGTGCTGGTGAATGAGCGCTGTGTCCCTCCCTCCTTCCTATCACTTCCTTCTCAGAATGTAAAGGTGCTGTTCATAGCTCCACACTCAGCTCCTTTTTCTGTCATGTGCAGGGAAACGGATCTTCTGGGGATACCCACTGCTCCATCTTTTCTTCTAGCAAGGTCTCACCCTTAGATCTCAGCCCTTCAGCCAACGGTTCAATTGAGGGGGCTTTTTTTTTTTTTTTACCAGTCTCACATGTTTTTAAAAGTTTAATTCAATAAAAATGGCTTTGATGTTCCGCCCAACAGCCACACACAAACAATATCCTCTCATCAAAAGCTGATTTTTCATTGTGCAGGACAATTACACTGTGATAGATTGAATTTTTATTTCTCTAGATCCCTGGCTACAGAATTCAATGGTTTAGGA